AATGATTATCAGCCAGACATATACATGGGTTATAAGTTTTTCTACGAAAGATTATCAGCCAGACATATACATGGGTTATAAGTTTTTCTATGAATGATTATCAGCCAGACATATACATGGGTTATAAGTTTTTCTACGAAAGATTATCAGCCAGACATATATAGGTTAAAAAATGAAACAATAAGAATGTTTTGGGTCTCGGTGTTGGTATTATTGGAGATCAAATCAGTTTAAAACAATAAAGACTGCTAGAGTCACTAAATTTTAAAGCAACTAGATATTTAACTGAAAATAAAAGTATTTTCCATATTGCTAAATTTTCAACACATTCATAATATTACACAAAATTGAACCATTCTGCTTACTTCACACTCAGTTTGGGTCACATTACCTACTAATGATACCATATAAAGTAAGTGTTAGTTTAAGTTCAATGTGCAGGTCACATTGCCTACTACTGAGACAACACCAAGTAAAGGCTCTGTCTACGTCGATTTAAGTGTTAGTTTAAGTTCAATGTGCAGGTCACATTACATACTACTGAGACAACACCAAGTAAAGGTTCTGTCTACTTCAAATTAAGTGTTAGTTCATGGTCTATAAATGGATCACATTACCTACTACTGACACAACACTAAGTAAAGGTTCTGTCTACGTCGAATTAAGTGTTAGTTCATGGTCTATAAATGGATCACATTACCTACAACTGAGACAACACTAAGTAAAGGTTCTGTCTACTTCAAATTAAGTGTTAGTTCATGGTCTATAAATGGATCACATTACCTACTACTGACACAACACTAAGTAAAGGCTCTGTCTACGTCGAATTAAGTGTTAGTTCATGGTCTATAAATGGATCACATTACCTACAACTGAGACAACACTAAGTAAAGGCTCTGTCTACGTCGAATTAAGTGTTAGTTCATGGTCTATAAATGAATCACATTACCTACAACTGAGACAACACAAAGTAAAGGCTCTGTCTACGTCAAATTAAGTGTTAGTTCATGGTCTATAAATGGATCACATTACCTACAACTGAGACAACACAAAGTAAAGGCTCTGTCTACGTCAAATTAAGTGTTAGTTCATGGTCTATAAATGAATCACATTACCTACTACTGAGAAAACACTAAGTAAAGGCTCTGTCTACGTCGAATTAAGTGTTAGTTCATGGTCTATAAATGGATCACATTACCTATAACTGACACCACTCTAAATATAGGTTCTGTCTACGTCGAATTAAGTGTTAGCTCGTGGTCCATGAACACATCTCGTTATCTACTACAGATACAACATAATATCTAAATGCTGCTGTGAAATATTAAACTCAAGAATAATATTTTAAACGATTAACTGAGAATTAACTGCAAGTGACACCGGTAAAAAAGATTTTAGAAAATGTTAAAAAAGGTGAGCTTTGAACACTATCGAAAGACATTAAGACATTTTTATCATTATATTGATTACAGACTGGACGGATATGAATAATTTGTTCACACAAAGTACCAATAATTACATATTTAAATAAACAAACACCAAAGAGAGTGGTACAAACCTGAGATAAAAGTGTTTAAATAATCAAGCTGTACACTAAACCTTTGATTTTTTTTATGAAAACAATGTATCATCACATTTTTTAATTTTATGAAAATATACTTATATCAATTGCTATTTATTCTCCTGTTCAATGTGTGATATCCAATAAGTTGGTTAAAATTGGAATGTTTTCAATTGTATCACAGTAAGCATCACAACGTTTCTAACTGATCTTATCTGCATTGTACTTGTTATGACATTCATCTTGATAAAGTTTCTAGTTAATAAGTGAATTGAAAGAGATTTTACTACATACCCAACAGTGCATAGTCAGAGAATGAAAACAAGTGTTTTTGTAGCGTTTCCTTTGTTTGTTGAGGAATAACAGGAGCTAGCAGACTGTCGGAAACTTTCATTTCCACCTGATACCTAATGTTAGAAATTGTCACAAGTTTTATTGTTAATAATGACAAGCTTGCAACATAAGAAAATCATGATTTTGGGGAAAACATCTCACCAAATTTTTAACTAAATATATTTATGTACGTAAATAAGTTTATTTACATCATTGGCTGTATTTTTGTTCATATGGACAGAATGAAACCAAGCTTATAACTTTATTAACAAAATATGCCCTATTCTTGTCTCCACTCTTTACAGATGATCCCAAGACTGTCTACATAATGATTCCCCATCCTTTACAGATATAGACAGTGTTGTGATCATTAGTTGTAACAAGACTGTCTACATAATGATTCCCCATCCTTTACAGATATAGACAGTGTTGTGATCATTAGTTGTAACAAGACTGTCTACATAATGATTCCCCATCCTTTACAGATATAGACAGTGTTGTGATCATTATTTGTAACAAGACTGTCTACATAATGATTCCCCATCCTTTACAGATATAGTGTTGTGATCACTAGTTG